CACATATGAATTCCTTGAAAAGTCTCAACACATATGATTATTATTACTCATAATAACACTTTAATGCATTAAGAACAAGTATAAAAAAAATTTCTTGAAAAGTCCAACACATATGATTATTATCAAAATATTAAACTTTAATATAATATAAAAAAGGAAAAAAAGAAGGCATTTAAAAAAAAAAAGACATTTAAAAATCGCAATTTACATATATAGATAATTGTAAATATAATCCGCGCATAGCACGGATGATATGCTAGTCTATATTACATAATAAGCAAAAAGGCATTTTTAGCCCCAAGTTTTGTGGAAGCTGCAATCTCCCAATCTAAATTTCTTGATTTTTTGATTTAAAAAAAAAAAATCTTAGCATTTATTAACTTCTCTCAACTCCCAAGTCTTACCCTTATAATAACACTTTAATGCATTAAGAACAAGCATACAAAAAATTCTTTGAAATCCAACACATATGAATTCCTTGAAAAGTCCCAACACATATGATTATTATCCCTCATAATAACACTTTAATGCATTAAAAACAAGTATAAAAAAAATTTCTTAAAAAGTCCAACACATGATTATTATCAAAATATTAAACTTTAATATAATATAATAAAAAAAAGACATTTAATTCCTTCAAAAGTCCAACACATATGATTATTATCAAAATATTAAACTTTAATATAATATAAAAAAGGAAAAAAAGAAAACATTTAAAAAAAAAAAGAAAAAAAAATATTTAAAAATCACAATTCACATATATAGATAATTTGTAAACACAATCCGTACATAGCACGGGTGATATGCTAGTATTATATAAGAAAAATAAAATTTTTAACCCACAAGTCTTGTGAGAGCTCCAATGTCTCAATCTTAATTTCTTAATTTTTTTATTTAAAAAAAAACTTCAGCACTTATTGACTTTTCTCAAATCTTTTTAACTTCCCATACACACCCTTTTCAAGTCTTGAGAGAACTCTAATATCCCAATTCTCATTTCATAATTTTTTGATTTAAAAAATAATAATCCCACTCACCATTTAATTTCAACTTTTTCAAAATTTAATAACCTTAATCCTACTGTCACAACCTTTTTGACTCCCCCTACCTACTGCGCAGCCTATTCAACTCCTTCCACCATCCGCCATCCGCCATGTATTACATATAACTTCAAATAAAATAAATAACTCTTTAAAGAAAGAGGGAGAGAGTTTAATGGGAAAAAAAATGTGATTAACAAAATCTGGGGAAAAGTATAGAGAGAGTTGGACAAAATCTGAAGAAAAAGGCTGACACCTTCATAGTCCACAGAAAAAAAAACTTGTAAGTAATTTTTTTATTTTTTTAATAGTTTCTTTCTTCGTTTATTTTTTTTTATTATGAGTCAAAATGTGATTGTGATTTTTTAAATTGATTGAATATTTTAACTCACTGTATTTTTTGAAAAAAATAATTGTATTTTTTAAATATATGGTGATTGTATTTTTAAACTGATTCAATTTTTAACTTAGTATGTTTTTTGGAAAAAAAAAAATGATTGTGTTTTTTAAATATGAATTAAAAAAATTTGTAACTCACTAATGAGAAAAAAAAAATTTGTTTGAGTTGTGACAATCTCTGTGTTTTTTTATCACATAATGATTAGATTGTATTTTGTCTATTAAAAAAAATTTATAATTTGATTTTTAACTCACCATATTTTTTGAAAAAAAAATGATTGTATTTTTTAACTATCAATTGACTTAATTTATAATTAAATTTTTAACTCATTATGTTTTTTGAAAAAAAAATAATTAAATTTTTTAATTACCAATTAACTTTATTGCTGATATAAAAAAATATCTTCGCTATGGTAGGATGCATCTGTACAATCACAACTCTATATTGCATAATTTTTTTATTTGCATTATCATTCCTTTTAAGTTTTCGTGAGAGTTGAATCATAGTTTATTTTGTTAGGCACATGGATTAAAGTACTTCTTCTTCTATGCGATTATTGATCATTGTCTTTAGAATGTGTAAGAAGATCATAAAAACCAATGTGATTGTGGAAATTTGTAACTCACTCATGATAAAAAAAAAAAAAATTTGTTTGGATTGCGACAATCTCTGTATTTTTTGATCGCATAATAATTAGATTATATTTTGTCTACTAAAAAAAAATTTATAATTTGGTTTTTTAACTCATTGTGTTTTTTGAGAAAAAAAAAATGATTGTATTTTTTAATTATCAATTGACTTAATTTATGATTGAATTTTTAAGTGACTATATTTTTTGAAAAAAAAATAATTATATTTTTTAACTACCAATTAATTTCATTGTTGATAAAAATAATATATTCGCCATGGAAGGATGCATCTGTACAATCACAACTCTATATTGCATAATTTTTTTATTTGCATTCATCATTCCTTTTGAGTAGAGAGAGTTTTATTTAAAAAAATGTGATTCACAGAATCTGGGAAAAGTTTAGAGGGAGAGAGAGTTGGACAGAATTTGAGGAAAAAGACTGAAACCTTCAGAGTCACAAAAGATTTGTAAGTAATCTGTTCATTCTTTTTCAATAGTTTCTTTTTTTTATTTTTTATTTTTTATTATGTACAAAAATGTGATTGTGATTTTTTAAACTTATTAAGTTTTTTTTAACTTATTGTATTTTTTGAAAAAATAATAATTGTGTTTTTTAAATATACGGTGATTGTATTTTTAAACTGAGTGAGTTTTTGAACTCAGTGTGTTTTTTTTTTAAAAAAAATAATTGTGTTTTTTAAATATCAATTAAAAAAATTTGTAACTCATTGATGACAATTTTTTTTTGTTTGGATTGTGACAATTTCTATGTTTTTTGATCACACGATGATTAGGTTGTATTTTGTCTCCCCAAAAAATTTATAATTTAGTTTTTTAATTCACTGATTTTTTAAATCCAATCCTGTGCATAGCACGGGTGATATGCTGGTACTATATATTAAGCAAAATGAGATTTTTAACCTCAAGCCTTGTGGGAACTCCAATCTCCCAATCTAAATTTCTTGATTTTATGATTTTTACAGTACAGATACATATACACATACAGATACAAACTAATAGCAAGACTGTCCACTATTAAACCTGACTAAACGATATAATTATTTATCTGATGTGTACACCAGAACTGACCTTGAATTAAGGAAAATAGGAAGAAGAAAGTGGTGGAGAGGGCAAAAACGCTCTCCCTCTCTTTCTCTCAGCCGTGGACACATGCACATGGAGAGTGCCTAATTTCAAAACCTTAGGGAACGCCAATGCAATTTAACCTCTAGACTAAAATGTAAACATGAAACAAGAACAAATATGCTGCTATCCACAAGCTTTTCTCTTCTTTTTTTAATTATAACTGAATGAGTTACTTTTGTGATTTGTCCAAAATATAAACCACCAATATCATAATAAATACCCCAGCAAAAGATAAATTTCTCACATAATTTATATAGCGATCCCGGGTTTACCCTTGTTATACAGTGATCCGAACATGTGTTCGTGGATGTTGGTAGTTGTTTGTTATCGTGTTTACATCCTTTTTACTTCGTATTTGAGTTATAGGATGTGTTGGGCAGGTTTGTTACAGGTTGGTTGAGTTTATAAACCAAAACTAGTTGCCCAGATTTTGGCCTGTCCGCTCGAGCGGGGGTTTTGGCGCTCGAGCGGGAATAGCACCCATCCAGTATTTCCTACGCAGTGTTGGACGCTCGAGCGTGGAGTTGGCCGCTCGAGCGGGGTTGTGTGAGTTCCGCTCGAGCGGGGAGTTGGAAGCTCGAGCGATGGCCTGGTTCTGTAAACGTTCTGGGAGTGTGTATTCGCCACTCGAACGGGATTATTGGTGTAACGCCCTCAAAATAATAACATTACACCCGTCAAATAAGACATTCATTGATATATAAAAGTCCCACAACCTTACATTCATCAGAGTTTCATTACAAAAGTACTACATGTTAACAACAAAAGCAAATGCCCTATGGGCTTACAGCTTTCCAAGTTAACACTTGGTTACAACAAAAGAGTGTTAACTCATTTACACATTAAGCCCTTGGCTTGAATTTACATGTAATACATCAAAAATAAAACAACAAAAGTATGTCCGCCTCTAGCCTCCCAAGCTATGTCCTTGGAGGTGGCATGATACCTGTACCTGAAAATGATATTCCCATATAGGGTGAGCCACAGCCCAGTAGAAATACACTAAACCAACCATGAACAATGACTAAAAGATTAGCAATTGGTAGATGGCCAACACTGATACATTCACATAATTCACATGTTTATGTCATACGACTTATGAGTCCAAGTTACCTTTCATTTTCTTATTATTTTAAATTTTCTAATCTGTCAAATCTTTTTATTTCAGATTATTTTTATATCAGATTATTTTTATAGAGGTTTAATCTGTCAGATTTTTTTAAAGAGGTTTAATTGTTAAGTAAAGATGTTTAATAACAAAAAATGACAAAAATAACAAAAATCACTAACTTAAGGAAGACAAAATTTGACAACAACTGACCAACCTTAAACACACAACATTACTAAACAGGTCATGAATTAAGTAGTGACTTGAAAGCAATTTTTGTGTTCGTATTAATGCTAATAGTCCTAAAAATTTAAGCTTTTAGCACAGCAAATAAGGTTATAGAAAATTTCATAAAGCTACAAACCAAAACAACCAAACTGTTACATTCCACAAACCAACTTGGTAAAAGCACTTAAACATCAAACAGTAAATTAATTGAACCAAATTGAGCATAGTGAGAGTAGAGCACTAACAAAGGACAAAGTGGCTAGCTAATGACTACAAAATAAAAAATGATGAAAAAATATAGAGAAAAATTAGAAAATTACCATGGAAGACGACAAATGGTAGAGAACATGTGGTTGTTAGTGTACAAGTCAAAGTGAAGATAAATAATTCCATGGCTTGGTTTGAACTTAGAGTTACTAAAGAACACATCAAGTGTGATGTTGTTACATGATAAGTTAAGTAGTGTGTACAAAGATCTCTCCTAAAAACTTAATGGATGGATAGAGGAAAGAATTAGTAACTCTAAGTTCACCTTCTCTTTAAAACGAAGGCAATAAAAATAAGAAAATAGAAGAAATGAAAGGAAGAACAAATAATATTGTGCCTGATTATCTTCTTTTCCAATTATATCGTTATTAGAGAAATCTGAAGCCACAGTTACACACCATAATCAATATTGCCTCTATAAACAGTCCAATCAACTAAGATTCTTTTTATTTCTTCAAAAATAACTAGTTTCCTAAATGAGCAAATTTTCTTTTATTCCTTTTAATGTACTAATGTTGTAAACTTGTCAGGAACCATTTTTTTTTCTACTCTATCCTTTCCCATAATACTTCCATCTTAATCTATGTTATATACTTGGAGAACTAAGGAAAGATTAGAGATAGACAACGTCATATGATTTTCTTTGAATGATACACATTGTGCATTCCTAAATGGAATAGGTTAATAGTACACATGATGCGTTTTATGACATAAACAAATTAAAAAAAACTTGATCTTTCATTTGTGATCAGACATGGACAAGAGTTGGATTGCATTGGGTAAGACACCTGATGGAAGGATGAGTCAGCCATTTATTGATGGGGTGACATCATTTATCAAATTTGCAATGGCAGTTGTTGACCAGGAAGGTAAAATTCCGTGCCCATGTTTGAACTGTGTGAACTATTATTCCCAAAATCTTCGAAATGTGCAAATTCATTTGCTTCAATATGGGATTATGCAAACGTACACTATTTGGCATGAGCACGGGGAACCACGTGTATCAAATGAGGCTCATCATGAAATGGCAATTGATGAAGATGAGGTTTTAGGTGGTATTGATGCCTTAGTGGAAGATCGAATAAGAGGAGAACCCAACGATGCACCCCAGAATGAGGAAGTACAAACGTTTGATAAACTATTGAATGATGCCAAACGTGAGGTGTACTTAGGTTGCACAAACTACACTCTGTTGAAGTTTGTCATCGAGCTGCTTAATATAAAGGTAACAAACCACTGGAGCAATAAGTCGGTTAACACACTATTGGAGTTTTTAACAAAACTTTTACCAAAAGATAATTTGGTTCCAAAGTCATTTTATGAAGCTAAGAAAATACTTCGAGATTTGGGCTTGTCATATGAGTTAATTGATGCTTGTATAAATGATTGTGTACTCTTTTGGAAGGAAAATGCAAGGTTAGATAAATGTCCAAAATGTAAGGCATCCAGATACAAGATCAATCGTGGCAGGGGTAAGAAGATTCCCCATAAGGTGTTGCGGTACTTCCCATTAACACCAAGGTTGAAAAGATTGTACATGTCAAGAAAGACTGCTGAGGACATGAGATGGCACAAGGAGAAACGTATAGATGACGGAGTATTGAGACATCCCGCCGATAGTGATGAATGGAAGGAATTTGATGTGCAACATCCTCAGTTTGCCCTGGAGCCTCGAAATGTAAGGCTAGGGTTGGCTGTTGATGGGTTCAATCCTTTCGGGAACATGAGCAACTCGTATAGTTTATGGCCTGTAGTACTCATTCCTTATAACTTGCCACCTTGGTTGGTTATGAAAGATCCCTTTCTTATGATGTCACTACTTATTCCTGGAGAATCACAACCAGGGATCGATATTGATGTCTACATGAGACCTCTGGTGGATGAGTTGAATGAGTTGTGGGAAAATGGTGCATTATCTTACGATGCCGTAACTGGTGAGTCTTTCCAGATGCGTGCAGCTTTGATGTGGACTATACACGATTGGCCCGCATTTGGTGACATATCTGGGTGGAGAACAAAGGGTCATTATTCTTGCTACACTTGCAATGATGAACCATATTTTCAATCCTTGAAAGGTAAGACTGCATACACTAACCATCGATGCTACTTGCCTCAAAACCACCCCGAAAGGCGAAAGAGTAAGGCTTACAATGGTAAGCATGAGAAGCAAAAGAGATCTTTAAAGTTACCAGTGGAAAAGATATTAGAGCAATTGGACAGAGTGACAGGTGTCACATATGGGAAGCATCCAAGAAATAAGAAAAGACTCCATCAGGCACCAAATTCGACAAAGGTAAGCATCTTGTATGAGTTACCATACTGGAAGAAACGGAAGCTTCGACACAACATTGATGTTATGCACGTCGAGAAGAATTTTAGTGAAAATACCTTTGGAACTATGTTAGGCATTGATGGAAAGAACAAAGACACCGACAAAGCACGGATGGACTTGGAAGATATGGGTATAAGGAAAGAGTTGTGGTTAACACGTCATCCTGATGGAACTTATGTCAAACCTAGGGCAATCTTTTCATTGACCCCTGAAGAGAGGGAGGGTTTCTTTGAATTCTTGAAATCAGTGAAGTATCCGGATGGCTATGCTGCAAACATATCAAATTGTTAAATTGAAAGGTTCGTAATTATATGTTGCATGTGTAACCTTGCTCTTAACTAATTCTCTTTTCAAGGTTTCTCGGAGCTTTAAAAAAGTTTGTTACAAAACGAGCTCGATCAGAAGGTTCAATCGCAGAGGCTTACATTGTCAAAGAGTGCATTACTTTTTGTTCAATGTATGTTGATGGGATCGAAGCAGTGCATAATCGACCCGAACGAAATCAAGATCGTGGCGAACGTCACAAAGGGTTAACTGTATTCACAGAAACTGCCCGTCCTATTGGCCTAATCACAAGGGATGCTGATATGTCACAAGAATATCGTGATATGGCTTATTGGTTCTTGTTGAACAATAGCCCCGAGATAGAGAAGTATCTAGAGTATGTTTTTCATTTAAATATGTGTATTCTTAGCTTTGTTAATGTAGTTAGCAGTGCATAATAATCACATTCTTTTGAGTAGGATACAAAAAAATCTATTACGGACTCCATCTGACCAAGGCATAATCCGTATACAACAACAAGAGTTTCCCAAGTGGTTCAAAGAGCGGGTAAGGCATTTTCAATTTTAAGACATGATTAAAAATTTGTATAAGATTTGATCATTTATTAATTTATTTTTACTATCTTAATGTACGTTATATGTGAATGTAGATAAATATATTGAGAGAAGAAAAGTCACCAGAAGCAACCAATGATTTATGGTCATTAGCAAATGGCCCAAATTTACTAGTAAAAGAGTACTCAGGTTGCATAATCAATGGCGTACGGTTTCGTACAAGAGAAGTAGACAATCGCCGTAACAGTCAGAATAGTGGTGCGCTTACGGAAGGGGATCATGAGAGAGTGACGCATGAATTTTATGGTCACTTGTGCAATGTTTGGGAATTGGAGTACATGTGTCATAACAAAGTTGTATTGTTCCAGTGTGAATGGTACAACATAGGAAATACAGGTCGAAGTAGAACATTGCGAACCGATGATTATTGCACAAGTATTGATGTCACAAGTCGGTGGTATCAACACGACCCTTTTATCTTGCCTAGCCAGGCTAAGCAAGTCTTTTACCTAAATGATACCAAATGGGGACAACCTTGGCAAGTCGTTCAACGAGTGCAACATAGGGGTGTCTTTGATGTACCAGAGGTAGGCGATGGAGAATCATTACATGAACCAGAAGAAAACGATGTGTTCCAACAAGAAACTATTACCGATGTTGTTCCAATTGACATCGGCCCTAATGTTCAATGTTATAGAGATGGTGTTGAAGCAGAAGTTGTTACAAGGGTTAGGTTATCTGATGAAACAATGATACAGAAAAGAGCTGACAAACAAAATGAAGAGTGTGACGAACCTGATGTGGATTACGATATGGATCTTGATGTAGACTAGGATTTGTAGTTATTTTGCACTTTCTATATGAACATTGTTCTTAATTAATGTAGTTGAATTTCAGTTGTGGGGTTCATCCACTGTTATGTAGGTTTATCATTGATTGGTCATATTGTGTGTCTGATGGCTTTGTAATTAATTTGTTTTATGATAAGTAAATGGTAAAAACAAAAATCATCCATATCACTCTAGCCATATTTCAATGATTCAGAGCCTATATGACATATCCAATTGTTGAGATTGTTGTTGCTTTATGCTTTATATATAGAAATATATAATTATCTTTTCTTTACATCTAATGTTCAATTATGCGTATCCACCAAAAAAATGTTCAATTATGCTTTATAGTTGGGCAAAATGGACGCTACAAAAAAGCAATTGACCAAACCAAGTACCGCAACTAAGAAGGTAACGAACTATGAGAAACAAAGAATGAAGAATATTAATAAAAACCGTGAGAGAATGAATGCTCTAGGAGTGAAGAATATAGCAACTTGTTTGAAGGCTACGGTTCAACATAAGAAATTGAGGAAGGAAAAACAAATACCAATTGAGGAAAATGATGATGATTATCAACCGTCAGAGGCTGAAGATGGCAGTGACACTGAAACCTATGATTCGTTTGAGCATGAGGTACTATACATTTATGCATTGTGAAATATATTCTTTCTTGTTACTTTCAATTCATACACACATAGACATGTATATCTTTGTACATATATTCATATTTTATTATGTTATTCAGCTGTTAGAGATACCATCGAGAGCCCGTTCACAATCTCATAATGAGGCATTGACCCACACATTAGAAGAGGGGGATACCTCTTCACGTCCTGAGGTGACTAGCAATCCGTCACTACCTCTCAATGTGGAGCCTCAACTTGAGGTGACTGCTGGTAATACTATTGGTAAGACACACTCTTTATTTACATTGATTTGAGATCTTAATTAAATTTGTTCACATACTATTTCAATATTATGGCTTCACAATATCAGCTGCTAAGCATGCTCGTGGCCCGACTCGAGGCAAAGAGGTTCAAGGCCTTGTTGATAAAGATGGAAAGCTTAGCGTGCCTATCCCTCCAGAATTTCGTGCACCGGTAGGGGACTATGCCGCAAAACTAGCCTCAAAGATTGGTGTAGAAGTGCGAACTCGTTTACCAAATCCAAGTGTTCGTAGGTGGAAGTATGTTGATGCCTCCGTTAAGGAGGCGATGTTTCAACGCTTGAATGTAAGTTCGTTGTCTACTTATAGGAGATTTTACTCATTTTTATAATAGGTTAGAAATCTTAATTATTTATTGTAATTATTTTATTTTTTATAAGAATTATCTATGACTTATCTATTTTTTGCAGGATCAATTTGATTTACAAGGAGACCCTGTTGATATAGAGAAGGCAATGAACACAAAATTTGGTCGGAGATTGAGTAACCATACCTATAGGCTGCACAAACAATTCATGGAGCTGAAGGAGGCTAAAGGGGAGAAGTACGCAAGAAACCACCCACCGAAGAATGTCGATCCTACCAAGTGGATAGATCTTATTGATAAAAAATGGAACACTAAAGAATTTCTAGTAACATTTTCATCTTTTTTATTATATTAGCGAAGAAAGAATTTGATTAGAATAGGGAGAGATTCTAAAACAACTAGAAAGAACACAATCAATTTGCTGTGAAATTCCATATGTATTCTTTTCCCTTTATCTTCTAGGCATGTAAGTGGAACATAATAAAAACCAAATAAGTGGAAAAATGAGAAAGGGAAACTATTAAACATGGATTGGAAGGCTCGCATAATAGGAGATTAATTTATGGTTCCTTAAAGTGCATCTTTCACATCATAGAATAAAGAACTAAGATTTCAGTTTCTATGATTGTATTAATTTTCTGTTTGTTCTTGGGTTTGGTCTAAAGTTTCATGATAATGGTAAGCAACTAGCTAAGTAACTAATATAGGGTATTAAGACAGAACTTTAGATTTGATAGAGTTGTGGAAGAAAGAAAGGGCTATGAGTTTGGTATCAGTAATTGTTCCATATCTTGTGAAATGTAAATGGATATTTTCGCAATCTATCTTGCCCATGCTTATATGCCCCCTATTTGTGAACGGTGTAAATTACTCGTTTTTCTTTTTTCACCCAGAAAAACCATCTTATGATGAAATCTCAACAAGTCCTCTAATCTATTTTTCACAGAATTGAATGAAACTAGTGAATAATTGAAATATCTTTTAAGTTGAAATGATATATAGGAAAATGATAGAGAGGAACAATGCAATTTCTTTATTATCAACCATTAAATTTGTTTTACTAGTGATACATTTCATTGTTATATTGGTTCATTATTCCTTACAGGAACAATCAAAAGCCAACATATTTGTCTTACTAATGATACATTTCATTGTTATATTGGTCATTCTTCCTTATAGGAACAATCAAAGGCCAACATCGCAAACAGAGAAAGGATGTATACAAAACATAGGTGTGGTTCTAGGTCAATCCCTGTTAGAGTAGAAAAACACCGCAGCCTTCAAACAAATTGTTATATTCTTCACTCCTAGAGCATTCATTCTCTCACGGTTTTTATTAATATTCTTCATACTTTGTTTCTCATAGTTCGTTACCTTCTTAGTTGCGGTACTTGGTTTGGTCAATTGCTTTTTTGTAGCGTCCATTTTGCCCAACTATAAAGCATAATTGAACATTTTTTGGTGGATACGCATAATTGAACATTAGATGTAAAGAAAAGATAATTATATATTTCTATACATAAAGCATAAAGCAACAACAATCTAGTAAGACAAATATGTTGGCTTATGATTGTTCCTGTAAGGAATAATGAACCAATACAACAATGAAATGTATCACTAGTAAAACAAATTTAATGATTGATAATAAAGAAATTGCATTGTTCCTCTCTATCATTTTCCTATATATCATTTCAACTTAAAAGATATTTCAAATTATTCACTAGTTTCATTCAATTATGTGAAAAATAGATTAGAGGACTTGTTGAGATTTCATCATAAGATGGTTTTTCTGGGTGAAAAAAGAAAAACGAGTAATTTACACCGTTCACAAATAGGGGGCATATAACACTGGACACTTTGGAAGTGGAGGGGACTCATCCACAAGTGGACATACTTCTTGGTAAAGTATGTTAACTTTAATATAACAAATTTTATAAAAGAATACATGTTTGAAGAATTATGAAGTAATGGAAACATGCATATGACATCCAATTTGTACAGGTGCACGGGATGTATAAATTGTGAATTAGTCTAAAAAATATATTTTTTTCTCTATACTTAAAGCTTGAAAAAAGGCTGTCGAAATGCTAAATTATCACACAATTATAGATTTGTACAAGAACCAATAGAAACACCTTAGGAGGGACCAATATAAGTTGTATGAACTTACGGCACATTAATGGGAATTAGCCTTAAAATTAATTTTTTGTTCTCATAATCTAAAAAAAAGTCTGTTACAGGGATAAATTGTATAATTGATCTAATTGTAAATTGATGAGTTACTAATGTTTTTAATCTTTTGTATAATTGATTAATTACTATAGCTTTTAATTTATTTTTTTGCAGATTGGATTGGGGTGGCATTTTTGACGTGCAACAATGATGTAATTTGTTTGAATGTTCATTTTTGTTTGATAAGGATACACATACTTTTTGGAGTTACACTAGTTATTGTCGGATTTTTGGTGGAATTGAACAAGTTATAACTTTTGGATATTTTGTGGATATTTCACTATTTTATTATATCAGGATGAAATTATTTGTAATGATGAATGGATATTTTCATTTTGTTAATTCGTAAATGTGTTGATAATAGGTTAGGTTAAGTTGTGATGGAATTGTTATATTCAACAGGTTTCAACATGAACAGGGTCATATTTGTTGAACTAAAATTTAGATTTTGATAAAATAGGTATATAATGTGGAAAAAAATATTACGAAATTATTGACAAAAATTTCCATCCCTAAAGAAGGTTTTTTTGTCTCTTATTTGGCTTAGGTGGATGATTAATTTTGTCATAAATTCTTTATTTCGTCGCTAAATGAATTTGTCATGACAAAAAATATTGTCATATTTTGTCACTTTTACCCTCAATGTGTGACGAATTTTTTTTGACATTATTTCATCATTTTTAATGATAAATTTGTTTTTATCTCTATTGGTAGCTTCTTTGACAAAAAATTTTCCTCTTCGTTTATATTAAACGTGACAAAATTATTTTGTCTCCATTTCTTATATTTATGACAAAATACTTTTGTCTCTAATTTCTTCTTTAATTACAAAATATTTTGTCGCTAATTACTTGCAAGTATGTTCCCAACAGAGTGTATTGGAGACAAAAAAATTCGTCACAAATTTATCATTTTTAATGATGAATTTGTTTTTGTCTCTATTGGTAGCTTCTTTGACAAAAAATTTTCGTCTTCATTTATATTAAACGTGGCAAGATTGTTTCGTCTCTATTTCTTATATTTATGACGAAATACTTTTGTCTCTAATTTCTTCTTTAATGACAAAATATTTTGTCGCTAATTACTTACAAGTATGTTCCCAACAAAGTGTATTGGAGACAAAAAAATTCGTCACAAATTTATGATTTTCAATGACTAATTTTTTTTTTCGTCTCTAAGACCCTTTAGCGATGACCCTTTGGAGACAAAACGGGTGACGAAAAATGTTCGTCGTAATTAGTTTGGGTGACGAAATATATACATTTTGGGACAAATTTGTTTCGTCTTCAAATCCCAAATTTGTTGTAGTGATAAGAGAATATGAAATCCTTGTCCTTTCTTAATGAGAGACTAAGCTTAGGATAATTTTTGAATTTAATCATGCAATAAATGTCAAAATCACGCCAGTGTTATATTACCGAACAAGTTTTAATGTATGAAATTTTTTGATTAGTGTAATAGGGCAACAAAGTTTTGTGTTATATATTGAAATTTAGTAAGATTTTACAATTTAAGCTTTGTTCTTTGGTATAGCAATTCCGGTTTTGAACCCGTTATCTATTGTATTCCAGACTCAAGTTGGTATGGGTTAGAATGGTTGCTCATATCTTGTTTCCCTTATTTCCCCCATATTTTGGTTATCGGGTTGTAGTTGTGTGTTTGGAACATGTTGGTTGCTTATTTTCCAAACCTTCGTTGCCCAGAATTTGGCTCTTCCGCTCGAGCGGGCATTCTTACGCTTGAGCGGGCTTCACAAATTTTGTTTCTTCACTCGAGCGGCCATTCTTGCGCTCGAGTGGGATATGTCAACTTTTAGTATTTTTTTGCAGTTTTGCAAATATTGGGAGAGTGCATTGGATGCTCGAGCGTCCAGTCTCACGCTCGAGCGGGGTACTTCGTCTGCAAAACTTCTGGAAATGTGCATTCTACGCTCGAGCTTTGCTTCTTGCGCTCGAGCGGACCTTTGTGTCTGACACTCGAGCGTCACTTCCCATGCTCGAGCGGACTGCGTGCATATCAGTCCGAGAAGATGGCATTTTGAATCACTTTTTCTTTTCTGTCTCTCTTTAAAGCTTCCCAAAACCTAGATTTACACATTCTCTCTCTAAAACTCACTTTCTCTCTAAGATTTTATCTAGATCCATTGGGATTTCCACCCTAGTGCCTTTGAGAAAAAGGTAGAGTGCATTAAGATCTTCATTTTGATTCGATTAAAAGTGGGTTTCGTCATTCTTTGAATCTCACTCTTGCTTGGCTCATTTTCTTCCTTTGAGGTAGGAATTTTTCTACACTCTCATATGGTTTTTAACTTAGTTATTTGTTATTGTGTAACAACGGTGGGATTTGAGAGTAGTTTGATCAAACCTAGGGTTTGAGAGTGAAGTTAAAAAGATTGGTTTTTGGTGAATATGGAATAAATGAGTTTGGAGGTTGAAAACATGTTTAAGTTGTGTCAAAATGGTAGATTTTGGTACTTGGGTTGGTATTTAGGAAAAATGAGATTTTTGCCCTAATTGAACCAATTTGCTATTTTGTATAAATAATTGAAATTGATATTAAAAATGTGAAATTGGATGATCTTTGATATAAATGGTGGAATGGAACACGTATTATTTCATACATTTGAAAGTTTTGAATAAACTATCTGTTTGAGAATGAATACCTGTTTAGAGATAACTGTATTGGGCTATCGGTGGAGGATAGTTTTGATTGTTGTAGAAATGGCATGTGGATTAGGCGAATTAAAACTAATGTTTTGATGGTTGTCATTGAATATGGCCATGTCTATATACATTGTACATGTATGATTATTCGGGAGTGGAAATGGGATGTACTCCATTGTTTGATTTTGTGTTTATATACATTGCATATATATGAATGATTGTTTGGGAGGAGAAAGGGGATGGACTCCATTATAATTAAGTTGGCCGGAGTGTCCTGGGTGAAAGTCTCAAAATTATACATGGGTGCCTAGCCCGCGGACGGAATATCCGTAAAATTGCAATTGTAGTGCTTGTATAGCCTACGTTTACATGGGTCCCGTTTGACGGCTGCCCGCGGACGAAATATCCGTGAAATAGAAGTTTGAAGTGTTCCTGTGTATGTGTTGTATGATTTGTAAACCATTGAGTTGTAACCTTAGTTTGGTTGTTGAAAAAAAATGAAATTGACTCATGAATTGAGAAAGATAGGTGAACGGCATATGAATTGAAAGAAAATGGATTAGGACTTGAATTTGTATCTTTAACTTCATGTAATGAAAAGACTATTTACTTTGATTCATGTGATTATTAATATATGTTTTGGGTTGTATCTATTGTGTATTTTGGGGACATTACATTTGGTTATTTTAAAAGTGCACATTATAATTAAGAAAATTTCTTTGGGAGGCAATAACTAAGGGTAAGGGTGCTTGCAGGCCAGTTCTAGCCGGGTCGAC